CAGTTCCCAGCAGATGACCAGAGACAAGAAACAGAGACAGACAGACACAGAAAGAAAATAAAGCCAGATATGGTAGTGTATGCATATAGTCCAAGTTACTCTGTACGCTGAGGTGGGAGGATCCATTGAATTTAATACCAATTTATACTACATAGCTCTAACTCAAAAACAAAACACTGCTTATATTAATTTAAAAGAGTTCTAGGGAAAATATTAATAGGGACAAAAAGGAGTATATTATATAATGATAAAAAGATCAATTCATCAAGAAAACATACCAGTTTTCAATGTGCACACTTCAGTAACAAAACTTCAAAATGCATAAAGCAAACTAATAGAGCAACAAAAAGAAACCATTACATAATTATAGCTGAAGACTTTAACACCTCACTTTCAGCAACTCACAAAAAAGTAGGCATAAAATCAGCAAATCTATGTAGAACTGAAACATATCAACCAATAAGGTTTAACAAATAGCACTTCACTAAACAGCAGAAAACTTTTTTTCAAGCACCTATAAACATTCACCAGTATAAGCCATTAAAAAAAATCAAAGGATATTAAAAAAAAAATCAAAAGAAATCAAGAGTGTCATCTTTGACCATAATAATGCAGTTAAACTAGGTATCAATCACAGAATGACAACAGACAAATTTCTAAGCATTTAGAAGTTAAAAAACACATTTTCCCCCCGTGGTACAGGGGCCTTCACACTCTAGTTCTTTTTTTAAATTTCAAGGCAGAGAGTCTTTCTTTTTTTCTTTTTTTTTTTTTTTCTAAATTGATAAACTGCCCAGGTTAGGCTCAAACTGATGATCCTCTGATCTCAAGTTTTCCACAGTACTAGGATTAAAATCATGCATCACACCCAGCTAATGACACACTTTTAAATAATCCACGAGCCAAAGAAGAAACTTTAAAGGAATCTAGGGGCTGGGGATTTAGCTAGGCGGCATAAGCGCCTGCCTTGCAAGTGTGCGGTCCTGAGTGGTCCTGACTTCGATCCCTGGTACCGATAAAAAAGAAAAAAGACAAAAAAAAAAAAAAAAAAGGAATCTAAGAATACATAGAACTGAATGAAAATAAATATACAGCATATCAACATTTGTGGGATTCAACTACTCAGTGCTGAGACAGAAAACTGTAAGACTAAACAGAAAAAAGCTCAAACCAATCAATCATTTAAATTTCTATTTAAAGAAACTAGGAGGAAAATAAACCCAAAGCCAGAAGAAAGAAGGAACTAAATATAAGAGCAGAAGTCAGGGAAGAAAATTTGGTTCTTTGAAAACAAACAAGTTTGGAGTCTGCTACTAACTGATCATATTTATTACAGTTTTAAAATTGTGTAATCTATATGAGCTAGCTATCCACAAGAGTAACTAAAAATGCTCAGTATTAATATAATCACCCAATAAACAACTTGTATGCTGAGTTAAAACAAAACAAAGCAAAACATGCACACACAATTTTGGAGACAAGGCCTCACCATGAAACCCAGACTGGCCTCAAATTTGATCCTGCTACTTCAGCATCTAAAGTTCTGGGATTACAACCTGTGCCACCATGGCAGACTTGAAAAAGTCTAAGACTTGATAACCTTTACTAACACTGACAAAGATAAAAGATACAAGGTCAAAATAACTAATATTATGATTTGTACATAGCTATCTCCCAAAGCCTTATGTGGTCATAGGGAGGCTTTTCAGAGCTAAGTCTGAACTGTATGATGCTAGGATTAAGAGTGTGTGATTAGTAACTTGGTCCACTGATTGATTTGGCATAATTCTGGTCGTGGATAATGGGAAGGCCCACCTTGAGTGTGAATGCTATCTGCCCTAAGAGAGTGAAGCCTGGACAGACGACAGCGGACAGAAAGAGGGCTGCTATTATTGCTACTTCCTTTGTTATTCCACTTCTTGCTGCCTTCTGCCTGCCATGGACTGTTTCTCCTGTCATGCCTCTCTGCTATGCCACTCTGCCTTGAAGCCAGCCGACTATAAATTGAAACCTTGGCAATATAGCTCAGTGGCACAAAAGCCTGCCTGGCAAGTGCAAGTCCTGAATTTGATTCCTGGTCAAAAATAAATAAATAAATAAATAAGCAAATAAACAAACTGTGAGCTACAATAAACTTTTCCTCCTTTAATTTGGGATGATGGGTATTTTGTCTTGGCAAGGAGAAAAGTAACTGAAATATATTAGTAATAAAAGAAGGATGTTATCAGTTGAGATCCTGCAAGCCATTAAAAGGAAAATAAAGTATCATAAATAATTTAAACTCATACATTCAACAATTTAGAAGAATGGATTAACTCCTCAAAAACAATAAACTAGCAAAACTTCAGCAAAATGAAACAGATAATCTGTAATAGTTCCACAGCAAATAAAAAAAACTGAGTAACTAAAAAGCTCTAAGCAGGATGATTTCACAGGGTAATTTTTTTATACTTAAGAAAGAATTAATACCAGATTTACAGCCTTTTCCAGAAAACAGAAAGCAATACTGCCAAATTCATTTTATAAGGTCAATATTACCCTGATACCAAAAACAAAATACAAGGGGCTGGCGATTTAGCTCAGCGGCATAAGCGCTTGCCTTCCAAGCAGGCAGTTGTGAGTTCGATCCCTGGTACTGATAAAAACGAAAAAGACCAAAAACAAAATACAAAAAAGAAAATCACAGACAATATCTGCTTTGAATTTAAATGTAAAAACCCACAATCAAATTGTGAGAAATTAAGCACTCTCTATAAAACTTATAACCCAAGGGGATTTATTCCAGAGATGCAAGGTTGGTTCAAATACAGTAATTAAAAATAAATATAATCCACTAAAAAATGAAAATAAAACAAATATAATCCACTAAATCAACAAGCTAAAGAGGAAAAATTATCCCATCCTATTAATTGATAAAGAAAAGCGTCTGACAAAATCCAATGCATAGTGAAAATGCTCTGCAAACTAACAATAGAAGGGAGCTAACTGGGCATGGCAGTGCATGCCTGTAATCCCAGCACTTGGGAGGCTGATGTAGGAAAACTGCCATGAATTTGAGGCCAGCTTGGGCCAGAGAGTTCAAGGCCAACCCAAACTGCCTAGCAAGACCTCAAAATAAAACACAGAATGGCTGAGGATATAGCTCAATGTGAAGGCCCTGAATTCCATTCCCACCATGGGATGGGGTTGAGGGTGGAATACAAAGGCACTCTCTGAAACAGAGTACATTAAAAAAAAAAAAAAAAAAAAAAGATAAACTCTACAACTAATAGTATACTTAATAATGAAAGTGCCTTCCCTCTAAGATTGAGAACAATGAAGAGATGTTCACTTGCTCTTACTCAATGCAGCAATAGCAATAGTATGAGCCAGAACAATAAGGTAAAGAGAAATAAAAAGCAGATAGTTTGAAAGAAAAGAAAAGAAAATGCCTATTTGTAGGTGACTTGATTATCTATGTAGAAATTTACAGAAAAATTCCTAAAATGAACAGGTCAACTCAACAAAGTCACAGGTTACAAAACAAATAGACAAATAGAAAATTACAACTCAGGGAGATTCTGTCTTGAAATAAAAAGGGCTAGGAATGCAGGTCAGAGATTACCAAGTTCAATCCCCAGCACCAAAAAGAAGTAAAAATGTGGGCATCAGGTTGTCGTTCAGTGCAAGAGTAGTTGGGGGCAGGGTTAGTCAGCTAGTCATATTGAGGTTTTTTGTTTACAAAATTAACATCCATAACACCTTTAAAGCCACTCTGATTTTGAAAAATTGGAAGGTAAGATTACAAATTGTTCGACAAACCTGAAATGTTCTTGAGGGGAAAGATTATAGTAACTGTGGAATTACCAGAGCAAGGCAATACTGGCACTGTTGTGCAGTGCCATCAATACTTTAGGAATAAATGTTCTTATGCTTAGGAATGCAGAAAAATCAGATGATAGTTGGCTGTTATTTTATAACAACTGGGATATGATGAATGAACTGGACATGAGGGGTTTAAGTGAAGTAATAGAAGACAATGTATTTTGGAAATTCCTATCTTGAAACAATCTTGCATGTGTGAAATATGAAGCTGTATCTTTGGTTTTTCTATTCTCACCAGACATATGATAAACTTTGCAATCAGATGTTAAAGTAAATTTTAGGTGGGCATCTTATTGGTAGTTATCCAAAAAAGGGACTATCCTATTTTTTGGTGTGCTTTCACTATCCATCACTTTGTCAGAGGAGATCTCATTCTTCATTAACTGCAGAGGAGATCTCATTCTTCACTAACTGGATATAATTACTTTTCCTCAATTCTAATTTTTATTGTTACTACTGTTAAATAATTATGTTAACAGTTTTAAGATCAAAGTACCTTTTCCTCCTACTTCTTAATCCCCCAAACTGCTACTAAATGGTCTTATTTTTTTCGGTGCTGAGGGTTGCACACAGCTTCTTTGCACTGTGCTGCACTGCTATCCTTTCGTTTGCTTTAAATTTTGAGAGTCTCATTAAATTGCCCAGGCTAAGCTTAAATTTAAGACCTTTCTGCCTCAGCTTCCCAGAGTGTTTGGGATTCCAGGCATGTGCCATCAGGCCCGGCAAACTTCTTATAGTCAAAAGAACAACTGTACTAGCTACAGATTATTTTACCTGGAGGTTCGTTTGTAGTTCTACAACCTAAAAGCTTTTTTGCAATGTGTTCTTCAAGTAGCACCAGTCTCTGGGAGGAATGGGAACCAGGGCTAAAGCCCACCCTTTCGTTCTTTAGACACAATACGGTTCCAGAAACCTGTCCGGGGCCTGCAAGGAAATGATAAACTATCTGGAGCCTACTCTTCCAGTACTCAATCCCAAGTGGCGCTCTGAGCAGCCTAGGGGACAACTTTACCCCAAAGGAGACCAACATAGCGATTCCACCGGAAAGCTTTTGAGTTTAACCAGTCTAGGTCCCCACGGGCAGCGCCAGGCTACAACCTAGCCACAATCTTTTGATTCTGGCCCTCGTCGCTTACGTGTAGTTCGCATCCATTGCAGTAGCGCCGGTCGATCTGCCGGAGCCACAGCCTCGATCAACTGAAGTACAGCTCGCTGCGCTGAGCGAAATTCCATGGTGCCCAGGCCGGTAGCAACGGGGGGGGGGGGGATTCCTACTGCGCACGCGCAGATAGACTATGAGACAGCGGACTCAGACCAGTGCAGATCCCGCCTCTCTGGACTCTAAGCTCCTCCCCCTTCTGTGGTTCCCACATGTGCTTTTCCAGTCAATTTTTCTTAAGGGAGTTTCCAGTCAATTTTTTCCTAGGGTTGCGTCTCAAGATATCTTATTTTACTACTAAGTGTGCTGCCACAGTTATTCAACTGTTAGAAAACAAGCCAAAAGCCACCAAGGAAAGAAGGTCCTCTCCAAATCCCTTCTGGAGACTACCGGAGAACCCCGGCTCCGCGCTCCGGAAGCGGAAGTGCACGGTCCTGGGGAAAGGCTGGACTACGCCGAGTGATGACGTTCCCTCATTGGGCGGAAGGTTCGCTGGCAGTCGTCGGTCCTCCAGCTGGTGGGAGTTAGCTTCGCAGCACTGAGTGCTGGGACCCTAGTTTATATTGTTCCAGAAGTTGGTTTGTGAAGTCTTGCCTGTCTGTTTGCGCGAAGCTTATCTGGTCTTCCTTCTAAGGCGTGGGGCCTCGCGAAGGACTCCCCGGCCCTTTTGGGCCACGGCTTTAGCAGTGGCATTTGCGGTAAGTGTGTGGTTTCCCGCTGTAAAGACTACCGAGGGGCAGCCCTAAGCCTGGTGAAGGGTGAGAGGTTCCTAAGGGCAGCTGTTTCCCTCGCCACCGACTGTCATCGCCCAGTATGATGTGCTTCGGCCCTTCTTTATCTAGTGTCCTCCGTCAGAAGTTTTTCTAAAAGGTGCTCTGTGACTCTTCAAGCTGTCTTCAGATTTATCCGAACGCAGTAAAATGTAGGCATTTGTAGGCTTGATCCTGGTGTTTGCTTTCCTGAGCGAGAGTTTAGATGCCGGTACCTCCCTAAAAAACCTTTTGATGTGTACCAGATCTTATTTTCTTGTTATATATAATGCTTAACACTTTGCCCTGAGTACAGTAGACATTAGATAACGGATGAGGAATATCGGCTCAGTGCCAATGGTAAGATAACGATTTGACGCTACTGACCATCCGTTTCTCAAAACGTTACCGTTTGCTTTCTTGATGCTGTCCTCAGATGGTTTTTTAGTGAACTTAATGCAACACAAATATTTACTCGTGCTTATCTATGATGATACAGAAATGAATGATGCAAACCCTGCCATTGAGAAGCTAACAGTACACGAGAGAGGGGCAGATAAATAATGGCCTGTTTCTTTATCGACCTAATAGGCTCATTACGAGGATGAAGGGAGATTGGGTAACATTTGACACAGTGCCCGAAAATAGCAGTGTGGTGCCAAAGAAGAGGGAGTATCTCCCTTCAACACCCTTTTCCTCAATATTTTGGATATAAACAAAGAGTATTTTCTAACTTACTACAGATGCAAAAGAATCTTTAGGTCTTCCTCCAAAAAGTACTACTAACAGTACATCTAACTTAGATGAAATGACAGAAGTACTACTTGCAAAATAGTACCAGCACACTGCAAGATAACAGTAAGTGGTAGCTTTTCTTTCTTTTTAGAATTTATTTTTTTCGGTGTTCCTTTTGGGGAAAGGGAAAGGAATTAGTGGAATCATCTATCTTTGATTACTTTTATTTTAGTTGAGTCTCCTTTTAGCTGGCCCTTAGTCACTGCTGCAGCCCATGGTCTTCCTCAGGCAATCTTCTTATCTATGTCTATGAGTTCCTTAGCATCATCCTTTTATGCCAACCATTTCCAGGCCATTTTCTTTAGCCTCCTTTTCCAGAGTGATAATTCTGCACTTGCTACAGATTCAATAGCTCCAAAATCAAATCCACTTTCCAAGTGGATTCCTTTTTCCAAATTCCAAAGGATTCCAAATTCCTTTTTTTTTTTTTGCTATATTATGCATACAAAAGTGTATAAAAGCAATGATTCTCAGTGTGTTGATTTTTAACTCTGTTATACGCAAGGAATTAAAAAGGGTCACCTGAGTGTGGTGGCCTAGGCCTGTGGTCACAACTACTTGGAAGACAGAGGCAGGAAGATGGTTGAGCACAGGAGTTGAGACCAGCCTGTGCAACAGAGAACCCATATCAAAAAACCAAAACAAAATGTTAATGAAATTAGTGCATTCAACTTAAGCAATTAAGGCTCCTGAACCTTTTCTTTTGACTCTCAATCAGCTTCCTTTTGCGTGTTTTGTTCATTAGTTAATGGCATCGGTAGCCAGCTGATTATTTTAAGCTAAAGATACTGGAGTTATTTTTGCCATTCCTCCTCCTTGACCATTTGCACATTATGCATGTAGATGCTGCTTCATGCACTACTCTGATTCTAGACCCTTCTTGTCATTTGCCTTCTTTTCTAGTAGATCTTTTTTTTGTTGGTGTTGTCCCTTTGAGACAGGGTCTTGTTATGCACTTCAGGCTGGCCTTGAACTCACTTCATAGCCCAGACTTGAACATGTGGCAGTTCTTCTGCCTCAGCCTCCTGAGTGCTAGAATTATAGGCATGCGCTATCACAGTGAGCCTCTAGTAGACTTTTGGAGTACAGATAGTGTTTTTAGTCTGCTGATCCCTGAGTTTTTCCACTGAGATGTATTTGCTACTTTGTCTCTAAAGACATTTTAAATTATATAAATGTATATATTTTGGACAAGATCTTGTTATGTTGCCCTGGCTGACCTTGAACTATGGGCTCAAGTAATTCTGCTTTGGATATGTGGTCTTCCTTTCTTCTGGTTGCATACTTGGAACAGGATTGCTGGGACTTGTAGCAACACTGTGTTTAATATTTTGAGGAATTGCCAACTTTTCTAAAAGATTTTGCCACTTTATTCCCACTAACAGTGTAGGAAGGTTCTAATTTTTTCATATCCCTGCCAAGATTTGCTGGTTTTTTTTCAGCTATTCTAGTAGATTTAGTGATCCTAGTAAAGTGATATTTCATTATAGTTTTGATTTACAATAGCCTGATGAATACTTTTTCTAATGTTTTCTAGCTGCATATATTTTATAGTTTTCCTTTTGCATTTAAACATTTTAGCATTAACAAGGATATTTTACAAAAGACTTTCTCCCATTTCTGTTTCCCTTTCCACTTTCCCCCAAGCCATAATCCTTGTGAAAACTTGCCTAAATTATATACATAGAAAATATAATCTGTTGGAGTATATTTCAAATTATTATTGGTTGTTACCAGGGGATAGGAGTAAGAGTAGGGAAACTATGTTTTCTACCTTAAGTATTACTCTAATACGTTAATTTTTACAATAGATACGTATCCTCTTGTAATTGCAGTATATAAAAGTGAATTATTTCCTTGGAGGACTAAGTAAATTTATCATGAAAAACAGTTCCTAAATTTGAAATATAATAATTTGTCAAATATAATTTATCAAGTAAAATACCTGAAGGCATTGTGTTCAGTAGATTTACTCTTCTCCAAACCTAGATTGTGAATATGTATGCTATGCAGGGTTTTAAGAAGTACATATGTTATATAGACAGGAACACAAATATTGGTTGTGAGTTTTTTTACTATGTTATAGAAGTATATTACATAGAAGTAATTTTCTAAGCGTGTTTACTGAAATTAATATATTTGTATATTTAATTCTTGAGTCTAATATTGATTCAGAAAGTCACTGAGTGGGTGTGGTGGTACATACCCTAACTCCAGCTACTCAGGAGGTTGAGATAGCAGGATCACAAATTAGTATGACACTGTCTCAAAATAAAAAAAGAGCTGTAGCTGTAGCTCAGTGGTAGAGCTCCCCTGGGTTTGAGTGCTAGTTCCTCCACCACCTGGCCGGGGAGGGAGCACAAGGGAGGGCTTGGAAGAACTTTTTGGTAGGGATTTATTGTGATAGTTCTTGAACTGTCTGATCATTAGAGTTCATAAAGTGTCAGGCAAAACCAGGCAGGGTTTCCCCTGGAATACTTGTAATTATTTGTGTAGAGAAAATTGGCTTGATAAACATTTATCTATTGAATGACAACCAGATACTCGTAATTGGTACTAAATGTTAAGACTTCAGGGCTGGTTACTGGATAATGAATGGGACCTACCCTTTAGTCTGGAATTCAGAAATTCAGATGAGATAGGGAGAGCTAGTTGATACCATTCAAGAAAGGAAATTCATAGTTAATATGCTAGCACTTACAGACAGTTTTACGCATACCATCTCATTTAATCCTCACAACAGCTCTGAAGGGTAACTGCCTTGGTAATGGTATTATCTCCGTTTTGCAGGCAAGGAAGGTGAGCTCAGAGAGATTAAGTAACTTGCCCAAAGTAACACGGACAGTGTGTAACAGAGCTGGGATTTGAACCCAAGTCTGTCAGACTCTAAAGCCCATGCTCTTCATGCTGTAGCAAGTAAGTCCTGGCCCTGTGCTTGCCTTGCTTAGGGCATCCCAAACTTGAACCTGTTTCTGTCCGTCACTGTCCCACTCCCACAAAGCGTCCTGTTTGAAGAAACTGTGACTCGAGCCAAGAGCAGTCCTCTTACTGATTACAAAGGTACTTACTAGCTGGACATGGTACATACGCTTCTGTGAAGAGGAATATGCACCTTTCCATTCAAAATATGATTTTCTTTATTATACTACAACAGCAAAATTTGTGTCTGAAATTTGCCAGCAGGTATATTCATCCTTATTTAATAAAACCACTCATACTCAAGGATAGTGGCGGCGAACCTATGGCACGTGTACCACACTGGGCTTGTTTTTAGTATTAAAAGTTCTAAAAGGTTTGCTGTCACTGCTCTAGGATTTAAGGCATAACCAAAGGGCGGTAGGAAGTCTTTTTGTTTTTTTTTTTGTAGGGGGTGGCAGTTCTGTTCTCTACTCTGGTTGTATCATAAAAGTGTTGTGAGGCTAGAAAAGATACTAGATGTTAAGCTATAAAATGTTTTATGTTGTAATCATTTTTCCATTTTAAAAGCCCTATCTAAGTAGAGGTAATGCTTTTGTGAACATCTGGCAAGCACAGATTTATAACTATAATTCTTTTTAGTTAGTCACGTAAATTTTGAGTGAGTATTCCTGCAATGTGAGTTACTACAATTTGAGATTTAGAGTTAACTATTAACAAAAACTTTCATTTAAGTGTGAATTTTAGAACAATGTAAAATTAATTTTTTTAAATAGCATATTTTCCTAAAATAATACCTAACCAGAAGATAAGCCCTAGGTTTTTGAGGATGCTTATACTATGAGACCTATTCCTAAAACAAGTTCCAATTAAGATTATTACTTAGACAGAGACATGTAATAGTCTGTTGCAACACATGACAAATGTGCTATACTATAAAATAATATTAATATGTAACTAAAAATATTGATGTTAATACTTAAGTGATAATATAAAGTGTAATTAACTATTTGTAAATACTTAAGTGGGCACTTTTGGACAAAAGAGAAACACCTGTGAAAAAAGATGAACTTGAGACCTATTGCTTAATCACCAATCAGAAGCCATACAAAATGTATGAATAATGTGCATGTGATAATGAGTGGATGTGGTTGTGTCTAATGTGAATTTTCATAAGTTAGTATGTTGTCTGTTATAATAGATGTACTTAATGTACTCAGGTGAAATAAATGTTTTCTAAGTTTTGGTGCCTGCAATTTTTCATCACTTTTGTGTGGACCATAAATCTTAGCAATCATCATTTTTGTTGCCAGTCTTTTTTTTTTCTTTTTTTTTTGGTACTGGGGATCAAATTCATGACCATGCGCCTGCAAAGCAGGCGCTTATGCTGCTGGGCTAAATCCCCAGCCCTTGTTGCCATTTTACAAGTCTTTGGTTAACATTTAATAGAAACTGTGTGAAACCTGTCCTGACTTGGTGAAGAATTCATGGGATAAAATCACTGAAGACTGTGTTGCCAGTACATTACAGTAAGCAGGTTACATGGACAAGAAGTGATTGTTTAGGAAGTGCTCTGTTACCGGACACGAGAGATTAGGACCAAAGATTCTGCAGGAAGTGGAGGTACAAGAAATTCATGCCACAATTCAGGATTTGGAGAGTTATGATGATGTTCCAGAAGCAGGTGACATGACTGTATTTGAATAAATACAGATTTGTGTGAGACAGCCCTGAAAATAAACCTTATTTAGTATTTTAGATCAAAAAATAATATAAGACCTGGTCTTATTTAGGGGAAGTATGTTATCTTATTGAAGAGTAAGGGAAGAAATTCCAAAAAATTACAAGAATACACACCTTTACCCAACATTCTGGGAGGCTGAGGTAGGATCACACAAATATGCAAGTCCCTCTTTGGCAGTTTATCAGCTTGGTAATACCCTTTTTTCAGAAGAAGAAAATGGGCTGGATATATAGCTAAATGTGAAAGCTTTCCAGTTGTCAGTACCATTAAAAAAAGTAATGACAAATAAATATTAAATGTGCAAAATCAATTACTTAGGTCCAAGGACATCTTTTGATTTGTCGTAGAATGTTAGTTTTTTTTTTTTGGTGGCCTTTAAGAGGTATTTGTAATGCCTTTGATGCCTTTGGTTTCCTTGTCTTGCTTTTTTCCAAAGATTTTAAATACAACATTCATTCATTCATTCATAAAGTTCATTGCTATTAAGGGCTTTCTACATAAGACTGAAGGTAGGTGAGCTCATAGGAGACAGCAAAACAAAGGTTATGCCTCATGTAGCTTTCATGTCAATAAGAGGTTTATAGACCATACATAATCTAAATAAATCATGTCAGTTAATAGAAGAGTGAGGTGGGAGGAAAGGAGAAAGGACTGCAATTTTAAATGAGTGCTTAGAGAAGAGCTCATTGAGGATGGCGCCTGGACAGGAATCTGAAAGTGCAGGGAGCTGCCCTGTGTTCTCAGCCATGGGCAGCGCAGGCTGGCTGGCACTGAGACACTGAGGTGCAGCAGCGGCAGTGGGAAGTCCGAGTGATGAAAAGCGAGTGTGTGTATGTGCAGGTTTGTATTTGGGGTACCTTGCAGTCCATTCTGAGAACTCTACCTCTGCATGATGATGGGGAGACATTGAGATTTTAAGCAGAATTACAATTTAGATACAGTACCAGAGTTTTCAGAAATACATTCCCTGGAAATTGCAAATAAAATACTATCGGTAAAAGATATTATCAGGTGTTGTCAGACCTCTGCTGGCCTCCAACAGCAATCCTCTTGCCTCAGTCCCCCCAAGTGGTGTGTGCCACCATGGCCTGAAGTGCAAATTTTGTTTTGTTTTGTTTTTTTTCCAGCCAAAGCGCAAGTTTTTATGTGGAAAAAATGTTTTATAGTATGCTGTTAGTAAGTACTTACATGGAAAAATGTATGAGAATATCAGTTTCTTTTAAATTTAAAAGAGCCACTTAATATGGAGAGTTTTATATTTAAGAGTTAACTAGAGTAATTTTGAAAATGAAGGATGATCTGTTTTGACATGTTCTTTAAAATAAATTGTGCTGTCATAAATAGATTCTGTCACTTCTGGTAGAATTCTCTTCTGATAACAGTGGTAAAGGAGATGAAATGAATCATGTGAATCTTACTTCCTCTGTGAAAAACACCTCCTTCATAATTATCTCATTTAATGAATATGGGATAAAAAATAAATCCTGGTCTTTTCCATGAAGTAGTTGATCTTTCAAATTAATCATGTAATTGTAAAAAACTCATGGTAAGCACATTTTTTTCAACTTCATCAACATTAGTAGAAGTCATTGTAACTTCTAAATTATTAAATTTTACTTGAATTGACATGTAATACTTAGTTTATAGGTCAGCCTGGGAAATCTGTTTGCCAGTATTATACCCTTGAGTACTTTTTCCCTTTTTGCCTCTTGCCTCCATCCCCTTTTGCTCTCCCTGTGAATGAGGCAGCTATTTTGTTCTCATCTCTCAATTTAATTTCCTGTGTACTGTGTAGACAAGACTAAGTCTGGATAATCTTGGTTGCTAAATTAAGCTAGATTAGCTTGAAAGAGTTTTGTAGCAGTTGTTTTGAACAGTTAACTGTTTTTGGTCAATATTTGTATATTGGATAATTGATATTCCTTTAATTGGGTTTTCAGAGCCCTTTATTGACCTTTATTTCCTTTTAACTATGTAACCCCGTGTTCTGACCAGATATTTTTATTGTTCTCAAATAATATTTAGTAATCTGTAAGTAGGGAACATATGTGAGACTAGGCTGTCCCAGGCTTTCACATGTGTGTTTTTCTGCTTATGTCATCTCACACTTCTCAAACTTCCTTTTGTCTTCTCTCTTTGTTCAGATTCTACCCATATTTCAGGACCAAAGTCCAGTAAGCCTATTCTATTTATTTTGGCCTAAAATTAGTTTCTCTTCCTTTGGACTTTTAGAGGAGTCATCATTGACAGCCATGAGCCTTTATTCCTAACTTTGGACATTAGTTCACTAGTGACTCGTAAGGTTTCTGCAGAAGAAAAGCAATAGAGGGTGAGGAGTAGGAGGGCAGCGAGAGAGAGAGAATCTGATAAATAGGCATTTATTGCAAAGAATTAGCGGTCGGGTAAAGAGGCTGACAAGTCCCTCGATCAGCATAATAAGCTGGCAAGCTGGAGACTCCGGAGAGCCCCTGGTATAGTCTGGTCCTAAGGCTGGCGGGCTGGAAATACAAGACTAGCCAGTGTTTCAGTTTGAAAGCAGGAGAAAGCCAGTATCTCAGTTTGTAGGCAGATAGAAGGCTTTTTTAGTATTTATTTTGCTGCTCATCAGTGCATTGTGAGACAGGAAATGCAAATCATATTTGCTTTTGCCATCTGTTTTGGTTTTTTGAGACAAGACCTCACTACTGCCTGTGTAGCCCAGGCTGACCTCACGTTGATTCTCCTGCCTCGCCCTGCTGAGTGCTAGAATTTCAGATCTGCACCCCTACACTCAACATTATCCATGAGTTCTTACATCCTTACATGTAATAGGTCTGTTAATATACTGTTCAAACTATAACATGTTAGAGCTAGAGAGGATTTTTGAAGTTTTAGAATTGCAATCAGGGGTAGTTTTACAGTGGTAAGAGTAGTGTATTTTTTCCCTTGTTGGTTGGAAGAATAGAATGAAATAATGTAGTGGAGTAACAGCCCAGTGCCTGTCATATAGTGAATACCTTAATAGTTGCTTTGCCTGTGCTAGAAAATGTCCTTTATTATTATTATTATTTTATTTTATTTTTTTGCTTAGGAACAAGAGTCAGAATAGAGTAGGGTTCTGTAATGTATATTCATGGAGATTTTACCTTTTTTTCATTTAATAAAAACATGCATAGAAAGAAAGAAAAAATGCATGGCATATTAGTTGTTCATAGTCCCAAGTATTGAACATATTTAATTTGAGATTATGTCTTTATTTCCACAAAGGATATTATTATATGAGACAGCCTTCCTATGTATTCAAGTCAGACCTTAAATTCACTATGTAGCCCAGGCTGTCCTCAAACTTGGGGTAATCCTCCTGCCCCAGCCTCCTGAGTGCTTGGATTACAGGTGTGCCCCACCATACCTGTAAGGATATTACTTGACATGTTACTGATTCATATATGAGATTCTAATTAAATATTAAAACATAAGAGATTATAATCAATGGGCCTTTTTTTGTGTTTTAGATATGTATGCAGGGTGTATTTGAAATCATGGTATCTAAATACTAGAATACTTCAATTTGAGCTTAAATATGTTTTTTTTAAGAAATCTTAAGTCAATGGAAATGAAATTGATTGTTTTCAATTAATATTTTTTTCTTTCTAGAGTTCCTCATAAGCACATCTTAAAACCTTCAAGATGGTTCTAGCAGATCTAGGAAGAAAAATAACATCAGCATTACGCTCGCTGAGTAATGCCACCATTATCAATGAAGAGGTATGTGAAATATGCATAATCATACATCTTCACTAGCATTAGGGAGCTGGATTATTCATAATCATATGATGAAAGACCGTTATTAGTGATGGATAGTTTTCTTTCCACCTTTATTCCTTTGCTATGAGAAGAAATGGTAAGACTAGGGGCTGGGGATTTAGCTCAGCGGCATAAGCACCTGCCTTGCAAGCAGGCGGTCGTGAGTTCGATCCCTAGTACCGATAAAAAGTTGAAAAAAAAAAAAAAAGAAATGGTAAGACTGGTAATTTTCTTCTGTTGCATTTTCCTTCATGGTAGTCCAATTAAGAGAAGCAGATACTGTGAATATATGCCACTGTCTATTAGTCGTAGAGCTCTTCAGTGATGTAGAAAACATTGGCATTATCTATTGTGTAATAACTCTAAGTTGGAAATTATTTTGTTTGTACTTTATTTTTTAATTTTTAAAAATTTGCATTAGTATGTTTGCAGTATATAATGATTACATTCATTGTAGAGAGTTGGGAGCATGTACATAATTCATCTTTTTCCTTCTCCTTCCCATCCTCTCCCTGTTATTACTTTAATATAGGAATAAATTGTGATGATTAATAGTTGATAGTATACAATTATGTGAGAAGTTTTATTTTGAAAAGAGGACTGAATAAACAACTTTTCTCTTCAAAACTTAAGACTTTTTTAAAATTCCATAGTCGTTTTTTTAAATCTTTATTTAGCTGTGGTAGTATATGGTAACTGATCAACCATTGTTTTTATGTAATTTAAATAATACATTGAGTGTTTTAAACTTTTATTTATTTATTTACAGGTATTAAATGCTATGCTAAAAGAAGTATGTACAGCATTACTGGAAGCAGATGTTAATATTAAACTAGTGAAACAACTAAGAGAAAATGTTAAGTAAGTTGAATCAATTGGATAAAAAAACAGGCAGAAATAAGTTTAGTTTACTGGAGGACAAGTTGTAATTTCAACAGAAAGCCTTGAAAAACTAACAAAAGTCTTGCATCAAATATTTTATGGTACAGTTCTTTATGGTATAGTCTATAAACCTGTAGTAATAATTGGAATCTGTTAGTATGAATGGTTGCATTTTGCATTTTGTGGAATAAAGCTTTTATAGAGTGTCTTAACTGACTTTTCTCTTTCTTATTCTAAACACTACTATTATGAAGGTCTGCAATTGATCTTGAAGAGATGGCATCTGGTCTTAACAAGAGAAAAATGATTCAACATGCTGTATTTAAAGAACTTGTGAAGGTAAAAGTATATTAAGATTGTGCTATAATTCTTTAACAGTGAATAAATGTAGAGTAAAACTGTAAATGGATACTATGTCAATCCTTTTAAATATATTCTTATTAGAACTAAAATATTGAAGAATTATGAATTTTTCTAAAACAGACTATATTTTTGTAGTCTTTACTAAGTACAGAATTCTGAAGTATGTGAAGTTGTACTATCTTTGTAAAAAAAAGTCAAAGCAAGTTGCAAATTATAAAAGTTCATTATAGAGTAATTGATGGAAGAGCCCCTCTGAATTTTTTTCTCTTGTAATGGCAACTGTTTCCTAATGATAGCCCCACTTTTTGTATAGGAAAATCATACCTGACAAGTATTTTTTTCTACACTTTTTATTGTATAAAGAATTGTCTTTCTGGGGCTGGGGATTTAGCTCAGTGGCATAAGTGCCTGCCTTGCAAGTGTGCGGTCATGAGTTCGATCCTTGGTACCGATAAAAAAGAAAAAGACAAAAAAAAAATTTGTCTTTCTAAAGACCAGATATCCTACTTCTTGCCTAGATTATGAGCAATTTTGAATTAGTAAATTTATTTTTAAATAGTAAATATAGCCTTTTTCCTGACTTATCTTAGAACCATTATTAGTGCCATTGCCATGTACATTATGATGATGATCTTAGAGCTTTTATTTTATGCTTTTTAATTTTTATTTTGTTTTTTGGTTTCTAAGACAGGGTCTTGCCTTGCAGTTCAGGCTGACCTTGAGCTCACCCTGTTGAGCTGGCCTATTGGCCAATTGAGCTGGCCTCGAACTTGCAGTAATCCTCTAGCCTCTGCCTCCCAGGTACTGAATTACAAGGGTATACCACCACACTTGGCATTAAGTAAGATATACATGGCTTTAATGGTAAGAGTAAAAAGAAAAGGAAGGAATTGTCAAAAAAAATGTTAGAGGAACAGATGTCTTGTAGTGGTTTACTAATTTTTTCCTACATTTTATGAAAATTTTCATTTACTGTCTTAGTATCAGTGCTGATACGTATTTTGAAAAAGTCTAGTGATTTCAGATAACTGTCACTTCAGCTTATGATAATTTTATTTTATTTTATTATTAGGAATCAAACTCCCAGTCTCACACTTGCCAAGCATGCATTGAGCCACTGAGCTAAATCCTCATCCCATACTTCAGTTTAGTTAAGTAAGCTAATAAAAAATTTAGACTTCTGAAAGGTAAAGTGTTTATCCAATTGATAGTGCTTAGGTTGCATTTGAGAAAAGTTACCTAGTTGGTGACAAACCTACATCTAACCTCCGGACTCCTTGTGTGGGACTCACTGAATTATTTTTAGTAATTGCTTTCTATCTAGTGCCTGAGGGCAGAACAGGAAGAGTAGGAATCTTTAGTGTTACTGATTGTTCTCTACAGGCAGTTCTGGAGAGAGTGTTTCCTTAAGAAGCTTTGTTGAGTCCCCAATTTATTCTAGGCAGTATAGCAAATGCCACTGACAGCAGAGATGACTACAACTAATCTTTATACAGAAGATGCCTCTAGTCAAAAGCAGTGATGCACGAAAGAGTTGAAATTTTTTTATAATACCGATATGTCATTCGCCTTTTTTTTTTTCTCAGTGGTGGTGGTACTAGTGATCCAGTCTAAGTTGCAGAGTAAAGCTTTATCACAAATTAATCGATGGAAGAACCTCTCTGAGATTTTTCTCTTTTAGTGTCATTACCTGGTGATAGTCCTACTTTTATACGTAGGAAAATCACATCTGACAAGTTTTTTTTTATAATTCTCATTGTAGAAAGAAATGGATATATACATAAATTCCTTTTACATACTGAAATTTCATGATTGTTTTATTAATAGAAAAGCCCAAGCGTGACTGTTTAATTGCAAACTGAGATAGCTGCTTCTTTCATACAACACCATTTTTACTTGAGTGAACAATAGACATATAATCTGTGGTTATTTGGATTTAGGCATTTGGCAGTCTTTGTTTTGGTCAGAGGTTGGGATAAAATCTCACTATTGCAGTTCAGGGTGGTTTTGAACTCACTGTGTATCCCAGACTGGCCTTGAACTCACAATGATCTTCCTGCTTCAGCCTCTTGAGTGCTGGGATTGACCCACTGGCACTCTTTTTTTTTTTTTTGGTCTTTTTCGTTTTTATCGGTACCAGGGATCGAACTCACGACTGCCTGCTTGCAAGGCAAACGCTTATGCCGCTGAGCTAAATCCCCAGCCCCAGTCATTTTTTCCAAAGGAAATGAACTTGTTACTTTAAGGAAAATAACTGACAATATTGTGGCTAGTGATAAAATTGGAGCTTTCAAATGTAAACTGGGAACTTTTATCTCTATCATGAGTTTGATATTGTCCCAATACTTACTTTAATGTTGACATTAACAAGTAAAGTTTTCTAATGTTGTAGAGTATAATGTGCGAATAATGGAAGATTTGCATAACTCTGTGAATCAGTATTTTCTAAATGACTGGTGCATGACATTACTAACGTAAGATCCATGCAAAGTGCAGGATGGAGTCACAGATTTTGTTGTCTTTTTTTTTTTTTTGGCCTTTTTCCTTTTTATCGGTACCAGGGATTGAACTCATGACTGCCTGCTTGCAAGGCAGGCGCTTATGCCGTTGAGCTAAATCCCCAGCCTTGGAGTCACAGATTTTAATATAACAGTATGAAAGCTTGTATGGTTTCTTTCTTTCTTTTTTTTTTTTTGTGTGTGTGTGTGTGTATCGGTACCGGGGATCGAACTCACAACTGCCTGCTTATGCCACTGAGCTAAATCCCTAGCCCCTCTTGTATGTTTTCTGATCTCATGTTGCAGCTAACCTTTATAAAAGGAATCCTCTGACCACAAAGTTAAAAACTTTTGTTCTAAACGTTAAAGAGAAGATAAATTTATAAGACAGTTTTTCCATAAAAATATATGTCAGCTAATGAGCCCAGGGAGAGTTGAGTGATTGTGCCATAAGGTGAAGAGAATGGAGATGAGCATGGGGCAATAATATCAGCATACTGAAGGATCTAGGAAGAAGAAGAGTGGTTTATGTTTTAAGACAGATTTTGCCATGCAGGCATGGTGGTGCATACCTATAATCCTAGCACTCAGGAGGCTGAAGCAGGAGGATCGCCATGAGTTCAAGGCAAGGTTGGGCTACTTAGTAAATTCAAGGCCAACCTGAACTACACAGCAGGAGCCTGTTTCAACACACACCCACACACACACCCCCCCCCCACGCACACACCCCACACTAGTTTTGCCTATTTTAAATTTGCATAAGGCTGTCTGTATCTAGAAAAGGGATAAGAAAATTTATCTTTCTTTTTCTCTCTATAGCATCTTTACTCCAGAATTCAAGTGTAATATATGACCTTGATGATAGTTTTAGAATGGGCTTGGCAAACCTTCTGTTAAAGATTTAGGCTTTAGGGCCATATGGTCTCTATTGCAACTGCTAATCTCTTCTTTTGCAACACAAAAATAGTGAATGATTGGAGGTGGCTGTGTACCATTAAAACTTTGACAGTTTGCAACCTCTAGCCTAAAGGTATTCACTACTATTACAGAGTTATTATGGTATGAAAATGAGTATTTCTTTCTTTTTTTTTTTTTTTTTTGGTCCTGGGGATCGAACTCACCACCTTGCACTTGCCAGGCAAGCGCTTATGCCACTGAACTAAATCCCCAGCCCAAAGATGAGTATTTCAAACTCCAAATAACTGATTTACAATTGATTTATTATTTTAAATCAACTTTTAAAATGCTTCATAGTTGTTTGGGGACTATTTCTCTGTGACCCTTATTTTCCAGTGAGTCATTAGAACATTGGTGATTATTTTTTTTCCATGTACAGTTTTTGTAAAACTGATGATTATTTTTTACCAACCCTCTACTTGTAATAACTTTATAGAATGGAAAGTTCTGATGTTGCCAAATTTTAACATTTAACCTGCCAATCATTTCACACATCGTTTGTGATTTAGCTCCTTGTAAATGTCTGTCAAATTGAATATAAGCACTCTTTAGCATGGTAGCCACTGACCGGTTGCAGCACACCTGCAACATGGTGAGTTGGATATGAGTCATGCGTCACATGTGAAGTGTGCTCTAAAAGGCTAAGTTCAGATCTCAGTGGTAGAGAGCTCGCCTAGCATATGGAGGACCCTGGGTTTGATCCCCAGACCACTGAATGAATGAATGAGTGAGTGAATGTTGTGTGTGAATATGCAGTGAGGGCTTAGTATGGGAATAGGAACATAAACTATCTCATAGATTACATTTTTAAGTGATAATATATTGGATGTACTGTGTTGAATAAAACATTAAAATCAAGTTTAACTGCTTTTATTTTTGTTAAGGTCTCTACTAGAAATGTTAAAATTCATATGTAACCTTGTATTATATTTATGCAGTGGACGATAATACATTGCCCCTTTCAATCTAACTAGTCTCACATTTAATTTCATATTCCAGTTTACAGAATTGTTTTAGAATGGTAGGATTTTTATATGAAAATTCCTCAAGTTATTTATGACTTGAAATTTCTAAGAGGCTGGATTTTGAATATAAGTATATGTTAACCTGATTTTATTTTTACTTTACTTGTGATATATAGCTTGTGGATCCTGGAGTTAAAGCATGGACACCCACGAAAGGAAAACAGAATGTGATAATGTTTGTTGGGTTGCAGGGGAGTGGGAAAACAACAACATGTTCAAAGGTAACTCATACTTTTAAAAAATCATATAAGAAGATATGTCTATACTTTACAATTTTAGATTATTTGATGTATCCATTATGTTTTTGTGAGAGTTTTATTAGGAAAAGAAGAGAGAACCCAGTGTCAAGCAATTGCTTTTTTGTGAGAATGTCAGACTTAGAGAATTAAGATTTATTTTGTTTAAACAAAAAGTCATCCTGTTCCATACAGACGAGTGTGTGCTTTTTGGAAAACAGCCAAGGAAGTTTATGGTATCTTCTGTGAGTCAAGACTCCTTTTTTACTGCCCCTTCCTGCATAATAGGAGTCTTTATTTTGCATATCTTTATGCTATTCTTTAATCATTATGCTACCCCTTCCTCTAAAATTGGGTGTCTCAGTATTGTCAGATTTTTTTGTCACATGCCTCAGTCATGTGACAGCTTACAAAGGAAAAAAAGGGTTTTTTTTTAAGGTTCTAGTCCTTCTTTTAACTTCCTTAACATTAGTAATGAACATATTTAAAAGTAATCTATTACTGCTTGGTCAGTTTATATCCTTTGAATGCAACCATGTAAACTCATATAAACGTATTTATTTTATAAATAAAGTTTGCTATATGCAAAAATATTTAGTAATATTACATTCAGGAAGATTATAGCAGTTTTGCTTTATTAAATAAGGATAAATGGATTATATATATTAATTTATTATGTTTTATGATACTATTTTTTTAATCTTCCTTTCCTAGTTAGCATATTATTACCAGAGAAAAGGTTGGAAGACCTGTTTGATATGTGCAGACACATTCAGAGCAGGTAGTGTGTTGAAATTTAAAAATTGTTTTCTATAATTTTTATTATCTAGTTGGAAGACTCATTAACTTTTTATCTCTTAGGGGCTTTTGACCAATTAAAACAGAATGCTACCAAAGCAAGAATTCCATTCTACGGAAGGTAGGTTACTCTTTTTTCTTCTTTCTTTCATCTTGTGTTTTGTGTGTCTGTCTACTCCACCCTTGTCCCCCCTGGGAATTAAACCCAAGATTTTATGCATGTTGGGCAAGCAGTGAACCCTGGGCTATACCCCCAGCCATCTCCAGTTGTTTTTTTCTTTTGAGACAGAGACTTGCTAAATTGCCTAGGCCGGCCTCAATTTAGAATCCTTTTACCTCACCCTTCCAAATATTGTAGCTAGGATTATAGGCATGTGCCACTTTGCCCTGATTAACTTTTGTTTAATCTGACTTTGTAAAATTTGTGACATGAATTCAATTATCAAAGGAGAAATAAATAAGTCATTCAGAAAAGGCATACAATACCATTATACAGACTTTTGTAGTTGGACACTACATCATGCTGCTATCTGGTTACATTTTAACATGTGTTTTCTGGATATAATCCTTTCTGCTGCAAAATAGAGGTATAATTAACATCTTTTATTACTTTAATGTGATCCTATGGACCTAGTCTGGTGGATCAAAGTAGACATTGTGTAATTCACAGCTTTACCTATATTTATCCTGTGTGGTGTGCTTTCCTCCTTCCTTCTTCCTCTTTATTCCTGTTGTTTCTTTTAAGACCTGTCTGAAGCATTCCACCACTCAACACAATCAGGGAACAGACTGTGAAACTCTTTAGTATGTCATATAAAAACACATAGTGTGTCATGGTGAAATATTTGTATTTAATCATCCTAAAATGATTTGTAATCTCAAATTATCTCAGATTGAGATCCTGATCATTCCTATCCCTTACTCTACTTGCTGATCAAGGAAATCATTTATATGTGTTACAGTTTTCAGACAATTAAATCTAGATAGAATTTAGAAGGATTTGAGAAACTTCTCCTTATGTAGAAGGATTTCTACTTTTTGATTGGCCAGAAATTAGTGAATTCACATGTTGTGATGCACATTTGTAATCCCAGTACTCCAGGAAGCTGAATCAGAAAGATCACAAATTCAAGCCCAGCCTGGGAAATTTAGCAATTTAGTGAGACCCTGTCTCAAAATAAAAAATGAACTGGGGATGTAGCTCAGTGTGAAGGCTCTGCATGCAGTTTCTAGTACTGGCCTGGAGGGGGGGAGGGGAATCAACTGTGGTGACTTCCATCATTTATATCTTACAGATAATTTTACCAGGTACCTTCTTACTTGTTTTTTTTTTTTTTTTTAATTCTAGTTGTGGTGATACCAGAGGTTGAATCCAGGGCCTTCACCCTGAGCTATATTCCCGGCCTTTTTCTTATTTTTTTACTTTTGAGACACTGTCTCATTAAGTTGCCTAAACTGGGCTCAAATTTGTGATCTTTTTACCTCAGCCTCCTAGGGCACCAGAATTAAATTAAGGCATGTGCCACCATGCCTGGATCTGTTCTTAATTTAGGGGAAAAAAATTTTTTTTGTAATTATGTCTTCTTCTTGGGCATTTCTAATTTGTATAAAAAGTGCCACGAATCTGAAGACTGCAAAGTAAAATGTGACTTCATTTTTTGATTTTCAAGTTGATAAAGATTTTTGTCAGAGATTATTAAAATGAAAAAGAAATGGGATTAAACTTCTATACAGGGTATTTTCCTTTAAAAGCCAAAGGCCTAAGTGATCATGTCATTACCCATATTCAATTTATAAAAAATAAGATTCATGTACTATTTTTATTGGCCACATTTTTTAATACCAAGAAACGAACCTATAAACATCCAACAATAAGGCATTTACTTAATAAAATATATCATAACCATTTGATGGTATATGCTATATAACTTAAGTTACTGGTTTGGTTTTTTTTTTTTTTTTTTTGAGATAAAAATCTCACTATGTAATTCAGGCTGGCCTTGAACTCACTGCCATCCTTCTGTCTCATTAAAAGTTAGGTTTTGTAAGAATATTTAATGATTTTTAGGGCCAGTTTGATCCCCAGTATAAAAAAGAATATTTAATGATTTTTATAAAGTGGTTACAAAAGAGTATTAAATAGAAAAGTGGACCTGAAACACTTTGTATAGCTGAGTATGTGGATTGGTGATAGAGTTTCTCAGGCATGGGCAAGGCTCTGAGTCTGATCCCCAGTACCACAAAAAAAAACACTGCTTTGGGGCATGAGTTCAATTATTAAAGGAGATATAAATAAATAATTTTAAAGAAATAACTCATTCAGAAAAGGCATACAATATCATTATGCAGACTTTTGTAGTTGGATACTACATCATGCTGCTCTAGAAGTCAGTTTCAGTGTTTAGTACTTCTGAGAAATTTTATTCTAAATTGAAATCATGATCATTTTGACTTTCAGAATAAAGATATACACTGACAATTTCCAAATTAATAATATTTGGAAGTTTTACTGTTGTGGTTGGTAAATAATTTGTCCATGTTAAACAGCTATACAGAAATGGATCCTGTTATCATTGCTTCTGAGGGAGTAGAGAAATTCAAAAATGAAAATTTTGAAATTATTATTGTTGATACAAGTGGCCGCCACAAACAAGAAGACTCTTTGTTTGAAGAAATGCTTCAAGTTGCTAATGCTATAGTAAGTAGCTTTCCATGGAACACCACCTTAATGATTTTGGTTAATTTAATTATAAAATCTGGTTGATGCTATGGTTAATGTAAATTACTCTTTGCCTATAAGGCAGAGTGTAATTTTGTTTCTGTTTTGTTTTTGTGCACCTGTATTTCTGTGTGAAGGACTTAATCGCAACATTTTGGGCTTTAAACTAGAAAAAAATAACAAAAATGTGACAAATTAAGTCTCACTATCTGTTGAATTTCCTTTATGTAAGTTATTTAAATTCAGTTGGAAACAAGTGAATTTTGAAAGTTTTTCAGGGCAGGGGATTTAGCTCATAAACTGGCATAAACTCCTGCCTGGCAAGCGCAAGGTCGTAAGTTTAATCTCTGGTAGCAAAAAACAAAAGGAAGTTTTTCAGAGTGAAGCACTTAAAAATATGAATCATTATTTAGTGTCTTTAAAATTGATAAAAGTAACATGGGGAGTAGTAGCAGTTTATAGATAACCTGTAACATATATTTCATGTCTTGCCTTTGGGATGTTGGCAGTATTTTTGGAGTAGTAGCTAGTGCTAATAAGATTCTTGATTATTTATGTGGTTATTTTGACCAAGGTAAACAGATCTGAAGGAAGTACCTCAGCCTGTTTTACTAATTTTGGTGCCACTTCCTTTGTTTACTTTGTTCCGATTTGTTTTTGCTGTTCCTTTGTCCATTATGCTATTCTTCCATATCTTCACATAACTTTTTATTCACACCTTAGCTCCAACAGTGTTCCTCTACCTCCAGCAAGCATTTCCCTGACTATACTGCCTAAAGATGGCTCTTGTATCTTATCTGCCACGTACCATGAAGGCAAGATTTTCTTTCATGCTCATATTTGCAGTGCTGGAAACACAAAAATTTTCTTACTGATTTGTCCTCAGGACCTATGTACTTAATTCATCGTACTCCCTCAATAAATATTTATTGAATGAATAATTATTTGTAGTAAATTTTCTTTAGCTTCTAATGGTGACATTTGTTAAAATCAATAAAAATATGTATCCTTTTTTATTTAAACTTTCTAGCAACCTGATAACATTGTCTATGTGATGGATGCCTCCATTGGGCAGGCTTGTGAGGCCCAAGCTAAGGCTTTTAAAGATAAAGTAGATGTAGCCTCAGTAATAGTGACAAAACTTGATGGTCACGCAAAAGGAGGTGGTGCACTCAGTGCGTAAGTATCATTGATGTTATTGTGTGTCTGGTTATGCATGTGTCTATTTATGAGTTACTTGTTTTTCTTCTAAAATACGTAGTGGACCTGAGATGGCCTCTAAAGGAAGTTTAAATAGAATTCTAGAGCCTTTGTGATATAGTTCTAACTAGTGAAAATAAGTTTGAGTTTTGTTCCTTTGTCTGTTTAGCTTTGAAAATCTGCCTTTGAACTTTGTTTTCTTTTTTGAGGTTTTATATATATATATTTTTTTCTTTTTCTATGCAGAGTTGCTGCCACAAAAAGTCCAATTATTTTCATTGGTACAGGAGAACATATAGATGACTTTGAACCTTTCAAAACACAGCCTTTCATCAGCAAACTTCTTGGTATGTACAGTGATGGGAATATAGAAAAATCTCTGAGAAATTTGTTGGATTTTTGAAACAGTTTAGGATTTTAATCTTGTCCTTACTAGTTTAAGAAAATTCATTTCCTTCTCTGATTTATCTTCCTCACTTGTAAAATAGGGATGATATTTATCTGTTTTCTAGAGTATAGTTAATCAGATGAAGTATTAGATGCAAGTTCTTTGGAAAATAGCTTTAGAGCATAGTGCAGAAAACATGATTGTAGTAGTAGTAATGATATTAACATTTTTGTAATGTTAAGGTGCTTAGTTAGCAGAGAATTTGGAGTTAAGCCCTGTGCTGGAGGCCCTTCTTTGGCGCCATTTGATCTCTAGCTTCAGTCTCCTCACCTGTAAGATGTAGCAGGAATACCTAGACTGCCTTGCAGTGCCATTAGAAACATGAATGTGTTTTGTGTAAGGTAAAGCAGAGTGTACTATTGTTGACTTTTATTTTTGGGGGTCTTACAGGTATGGGTGACATTGAGGGACTGATTGATAAAGTCAATGAGTTGAAGTTGGATGACAATGAAGCTCTTATAGAGAAGTTGAAACATGGTATGAATTGCAAAAGATCATTTGATCTCTGATGTCTTTCCTTCATTTCTTTTTGACAAAGCTACTATTATCAAAGTAAAAAAAAATCAAAATAAAAAAGGAAAGAAAAAAGCCACTATTTAAGTAATAATATGTATTATTAGATCTTAAGATGCTTATTGTTTTAGATAATTTGTATGTAAATAATTTTGTTTCTCAGTCATCTGAACAGAATTGTTTTCATTTTCTTGTAATCAAATTGCCTTAAGGTTAAAATTGAGGCTTTTATTGGGTTCCTTAAAGAAAGCTGAAAAGTAAGTTAGAACACTCTTTTAATCTGTTTTGTTCAACATTATATATATTATGCATTTATGTGTGTGTGTAAAGAAATTTTCAAGGATAAAATTAAATGCACACATACTCTATTCACTCCACAGGAGAGACCGTTCCTGTAGAGAAGTATGTCACTGTGATTAAAAGCTCACGTTCTCATGTGTAGCATACTTTCGTTTGTATCTGTGATCTACTTTTTAGCTATGTAAACTTTTCTAAGTACTTAGCCTTGATTTCTTTCTTATAAAAAATAGGCAATACTGTTTTATATGATTGCAAAGATTACATTGGCTGATATGTGTGAAATGTCCAGCATATTATAAACATTCAACATATATTATTATTGACCATTCCAGTTTTTATCAAAGTGATCTTTTGCCTTAATTCTAGTGGCTAAACACTATTCTGCAATTTTGCTCCTTTTGCTCTTCCTGTCATGCACTAGCACCTCTTAAGTGTCCCCCCTTTCCCTACGTGGGATCATCCTACGCCATATTTCCCTGGAGTTTCATATTTGTATGTTTATTTGATCATTCTTGAATATCCATGGAAGCTTCAAATTCAGTGTATCCTTCCCATCTCAGCCTACCATCAGTGAATGGTAGCATCATTTGTCCTGTTGCTAGTCAGAAACCTGGGTGTTGCCATTATTTCTTTCTCAGTCTGCCCATCTCTTTCCCAGTCATTTAACTAGTCCTCAATATATTCCTTTTGGGGCTGGGGATTTAGCTCAGCGTTATAAGCGCCTGCTTTGCAAGCATGAGGTTGTGAGTTTGTTCCCCAGTACTATATATATATAAAATATCTCCATCCATTCTGTCCTCTTCTTTCCAGCTGCCCAACAACTATGATAGTTTCTATCTTACCTGAATTACTGAATCTTTTTTATAGATTTTCCAGCTTCCTAGACTCTTTTTCTCTGATTTTTTTTATACTGCAACAAAAAGACCTTTCAGAAATACAAATCTGATACTATTGCTGTCCTTTTAAAATCCTTCAGTAGTTTTCTCTTGTCCTTAAAATGTTTTTAAGTGATTTTACCATCCAGCCGAGATCTTCTATGTCATGTTTTGGCAGTTACACTTAGTGTGTCAGGCATGCTGACTTCCTTCAGTTTCTTAAATGTACAATTGCTGCCCTAGACATGGGCCATTGCCTTTACTATTCCTCTGTTAACTTTCTAGTGTGGGTTCTTAACTGCATTTAAGATGAAAATTATAAGATGGAAATCATACATGGGCTAGTTTTAAGGCTAAAGTAAAAATTCCACTGTGTGGTGATGTATTCCTATAATCGTAGCATTTAGGAGGCCAATTTAGGCTACATAGTGAGTTCAAGGTTAATGTGAATTACATAGTAAGACCTTGTCTCAAAACAACAAAAAACAAAAGTTCATCATAGGAAGAAAACAGACAGCAGAGCTGGCTACTGAGTTGACAGCTGTCTCAAGAGTTGTACAGTCCAATGGAAGCATTTTACTTTTATGGGGTCTGAATGGAATCCATTAATTATTCATGATTTTTTTAGAAAAGAGGCAAGGATTTCTGGATAGGGTCTTACTCAGTTTGTTGCTGCATCCTGATTGTCTATTTTGGGCAATGTGTAGTTTACTCATTTGTTTAACAGTGTGGTTAACCTCTGGCTTTCATTCTCCCTTGTCACCCAAAAGTGCAGCTGCTTACTTGTTTCCTATTAGGCGGCTTTAAGTGCTATTAGCTCCTTGTCTGGCTTCACCTGTATGCCTTTAGACACATTTCTACCTGCCTCCACTCTCTCTGCTGGCCATGCTGGCTAACTCATATTTGTACTTCATCTCATTCCTTAAATGTCCTTTGTCAGGGACATTTTATTTTGTTTAAGTTAGAATCCTCTGATTTGTTTCTATTATACTCTGTAATTAATTGTATTATTCATCATAGTTATTTGATACAGTCTTCCCTGCTTGAAATTGGAAGTAAGGTTTATAGCTGTGTTCCTCTTTTATGTTCATGGTACCTAGCTCAGCGCCTGGCACATAAGTCTTCAGTAAATGTTTATTGAGGGAATGAATTTTTTATTCATTGCCTAATTCTCTCACACCTTCCTGCATCTCGAAACTGCTAATACTGCTTCTGGCACCATTTCTAGGCTGTATGGTATGTAACCATGTCTGCTTTTTGAAACCTGGCTTTCTCTATATACCTCAGCATATTTATTTTTGCTCCTAATGCTGTATGCATGTATGAGGTTATTAAGGTCCATTTAATTCCCAATGGGTTTTTTTTTTACATTTCTTATTTGTGTTAGTTGCCATTTTTCTCCCTGCTCCCTACCTCCTCCTATTTACCCTCCCTAGATCAAAGCCAGGGCTTCCAGCATTCTAGACCAGTGCTGCAGAACTGAAGTACACTCCTGGTCCCCAAAGCCCCCTTTCTAAATTTTATTTTGATTCCTATATCTTGTACTCTGACTAATTTAAAGATACCAATACATGATATATTAACTATTGTTGCCTGCTATTACCATGTTTTCAAATTTTGTTTTTGTTTTTTTCTCTTTAAAATAAAAAAATTAATGAATTTTATTTTGAGATCTCATTAAGATGCCTAGGCTGAACTAAAACTTGTGCTTTTACTGCCTCGTCTCACAAATGTGAAATTATAGATGTAAGACACTGTCCTTGGATGACTTTTCTATTTAAAATTTCATTTGAGGGCTCAGTGGCAGAGTAATTGTCTAGCATTCACAAGACCTTGGGTTCAATCTTCAGTATCAATGAATCAATCAATCAAATAAAGAAATAATATATACATACATAATATATCAATACATCGTATTTAGATAAATAAAATGAAGTTTTCCATTTGAATTCTATCACAGTGGATTTCCTATGTTATCATAGTTTTAGACGTCCATGAACACTTTATAATAGCCAAATACATATTTTAGTTTTAACCCTGTTTTCCTTTTGGACAATCTGAGTGATTGAACCTCATACCTTCAAACTGACATGTATCCCCAGCCTTTTAAATTTTTTTTTTTTACTTTAATAAAGCAGAGCAAAAAAAAAGGATAGAAATGATACAGAATTTCAAAAAATAGTAGGACATTAACACTAATATATTGCATATTGCTATCTTGTAAGTAGTTGTTTAGGTTATAAGATTTAAGCATGTAAAAAATGATCAGTCAAGCAGTAAAAGCACAAACTGCTCTTTTGGATGAACTAACAGAGATTAGTAGTATAGCTATCTATCTTGTGTATTTATACATACACATGTATATGTGTACATATACATACATACACATATATATATATATATATATACACATATAAATAATCTTTACCCTTCTTTCCCTTTCATTATCACATTTTGGATCTTATTGCACATTTTGGGTCTTGTTACTTTTTCAGTTTTTTTTTTACACTACAGAGACTATGATATTTACAAATGTGAGTTTCATTTATTTCACTTCTGAGCATGGTCTCTCCAGCCTTTTTAAAAAAATTTTGAGGCTGAGTCTTTTTTTTTTTCCTTTTTATCAGTACCGGGATCAAACTCACGACTGCCTGCTTGCAGGGCAGGTGCTTATGCTGCTGAGCTAAATCCCCAGGCCCATTGAGGCTGAGTCTTGCTAGCTGTTAAATTGCGCAGCCTGGGCTTGCACTTGCCCAGGCTTGCACTTGCACTCAGTCTCTCATAGTACTGGGATTAATTCTATATTTCTAACTGCCTGCTGTGTTTCTTTTAAATATTGTACTACTGCTTCAAATCCAGAATACCTAAAACCAAATACCTTTTCTAAAAAATCTTTAGGAAATAGGGAATATTCTTTGTCCTTTGCTTTGTTCCTTTTCTGTTTCTCTTTTTAAAACTGAAGTTAAGCCAGGCTTGGTGGCACTTGGGAAGCTGAGGTAGAAAGATTTGCAACTTTGAGGCCATCTTGCGCTACATAGTGAGTTTAAGGACAGCTTGAACTACGTAGCAAGATCCTGTCTTAAGAAAGCATAAGAAGAAAAAGATTCATAAACAAATAAACAAAATTGAAGTGAATTTATATATAGTGAAACACTCAAATTCTAAAAAATCATTCCTCTTATTTTTTCAAATACACAGTAACCCACACTCCATTAACCTTACTACTTCATATATTAGAAATTCTAGAATATGTCCCTTTTTTATGATTTTTCTTTTGTCTGTTTTTTTGTTTTTTTTTTTTTTTTTTTTTTTTTGGTGGTACTGGGGATCAAACTACGACCTCGCACTTGCCAGGCAGGCGCTTATGCTGCTGAGCTAAATCCCTAGCCCCTCAGTCTGGTTTTTTTGATTCAGCATAACTTGTTTGTTTTGAGACACGGTCTTGATGTGTAGTGTACGTCAGCCTTGAACTTTCTAAGTAGCCCAGTATGACCTTGAACTCTGAATCCTCCTGCCTCAGTTTCCTGAGTGTTAGAATTACAAGAGGGCACAAACAGGCCCAGTGCATACTTTTCTGATAGTCATTCATGTAGTTGCAATTTGATTACAATTTATTCTTTTTATTGGAGTGTAATATTTCACCTGCCATCCATTTTCCTATTGGGGATGACTAAGCTATTTAAGAAACTTCAAATAATACCCTGAAATGGTTTTGCTATATAATATTTTCACCAGCAGTATATGGGAGCTGTTTTTGTTCCACATCCTCTTTAACTTCAGTGTTGACAAGCTTTTCATTCTAGTAGGGATGGTGTGCCTTGTTTTTAAGTTTCCTATTATTTGTATATGTCTATTTTTCTTATAGGAAGTAAGTTGATCTGAGGTAGAATCTATGTGCCTCTGTGTTCCCTACAGGTGTCCTTGTACACAAGTAACTGCTCAGTGAATATTTACTCATGGAATATTTATAAGTGTGTTTCAAAATGAATCCATGATAACAGCAAAAAATTAGTCTGTTGAAAGGATGTATACATTCTCTAATGTGCCTTAATGATTTGTATTGCAGGTCAGTTTACGTTGAGAGACATGTATGAACAATTTCAAAATATCATGAAAATGGGCCCCTTCAGTCAGATCTTGGTTAGTCATCCTTAAAAATTACTTTATATATAATTTTTTAAAAATACTTTCTTACTTGTTTTTTGTTAAAATTTCTAAGAATAGATACACTTACTTTAATTATTTGGGTAAAAATAGACCCTTTTAAGAATTAGTGTTAGTAACAATGCCAGTATTAATTATGGGCATCTCAACAATTAATCTTCAGCTATTAATGACTTTATGTTTAAATTTATGTTAGGGGATGATCCCTGGCTTTGGAACAGATTTTATGAGCAAAGGAAATGAACAGGAGTCAATGGCAAGACTAAAGAAATTAATGACCATAATGGATAGTATGAATGACCAAGGTAAGAAGGCAGGTTACTTGACTCAGGATCAATGTTTTAAATATCAGTAAGTTGAAATTTCACTGTTTGGGTGACAAGAAGGAGAAATTAGACTTGAGATTTTTTTAGGTAGATTTATAGTAACTCTTAATTCTGTAATCATAACACTTTGAGTAGGAACTTTTAAGTTACTCTAAGCCAGTATCTATGTAGGAGATATGGTGGTATCTGACAGCCTTATTTTAAAAAAATACCTGAAAGGAAATGTACACACAAACTGAAATAGAAGTGCCAAACCCATTTCAGTTTAGTATTGGAAGAAAATTTCTATAATTGCGTATCCAACAAAGTAACAAGGACTGCCTTGTTTGACATAATGGGTCATCTCTTCTGGAGATTTTAGACTGGGGCTAGCCAGCCACTTATTGAAGGCTGTTAAAGCCTAGAGAGAATATAGAGATGATACAAATGTTGACTAACCTCCATCCTATTCCTGGGATTGTGTGCAAGTAAAGCCAGAAGAACTGTGCCTCATATTCTGAGTTTCAAAAACTGGAGGGAATTAACTGGTTGCTTTTGATGTGGTGGTGGTCTTGAGATAGAGTCTTGCTGTGTAGCTGAGTTTCCAATCCTCCTGCTTTGTCATCTTAAACATTGGGACTATAGGAAATCACCACCGGATTTGACCTTTTTTGTTTGTTTGTTTCTTTCTTTTGTAGTACTTGTATTAAATTTAGGAGCTTCCCTCTGGGCTATATCCCTAACCCCTTTTTTATTTTTTTATCTTGAGACAGGATCTCAAATTGCTATGTTGCCCTGGCTGGGCTTGAACTTGTGATCCTCTTGCCTCTGCCTCCCAGTGTGCTAAGATTACAGGCATAGGCCCCATGCCTGGCTATTAACTTATTTTTTTATGTGCTACAGAAATGAGTAAAGTATACTATTAATAATTACTTGATGTTAAGAAATACAATTTTTCTGTTCATTATAGATGAAACTTTCCTCCTGATTATGTAACCTTCATTATAAACTAAAGGTTAATAATTTTTTAAGGTTAATAGTTAATTTAGGATACAATTAAGGAGAGCAGTTCTGATCTGTTTTGAAATATACCATATACCTCTAGTATGTGGAGGGCACTGAAAGGGTAGAAACCGAAATATAGAAAGGCTGGACAAGGGGGTTCAAGAGTTTTCAGAATGTTGTTTTACTTAAACTGCAAGTAAGGTACATGTGCATTTATTCCATTGTTTTTTATAGCTCATGAATACTATAATGTTCTTTTGAGTATGTTTCATATTTAATATTTAAAAACCAGAAGCAAACATGGCAAGTGATAACATTTGTTAAATCTGTGTGGTGATTTGATCATTTGTTATATCTGTTCTTCTGTATGTAAGAAACTGCTGTTAATTTCTATGAACTAATATATTGCCCATTTCACATAACTGCTTTGATGATGAATAATACTTGCATGTAAGTGAAAGTAACTGACCCTCACCCTCAGAGCTGGACAGTACAGATGGTGCCAAGGTTTTTAGTAAGCAGCCAGGAAGAATCCAAAGAGTAGCCCGAGGATCAGGTGTGTCAACCAGAGATGTTCAGGAACTTTTGACACAATATACCAAGTTTGCACAGATGGTGAAAAAGATGGGAGGCATCAAAGGACTTTTCAAAGGTAAGAAAAATAAGCTCATTGTTAATTAAAATGAAATGACAAATTCAGAAACTAAATATTAATCTGGAAGAGTACTACTAGCACTAGAAAATTCACTGTTGAATGTCATATTACAGCTCTTAGGACTTAAAATGTATTTTTAATGTAGTTTAACTTTTTCAGATTCAAGATAATAAAGAAAATGATTTTTATGGACTTGAAATATATATTGTTTTGTTCAGGTGGTGACATGTCTAAGAATGTGAGCCAGTCACAGATGGCAAAATTGAATCAACAGATGGCCAAAATGATGGATCCAAGAGTTCTTCATCACATGGGTAAATACAAAATTGTTACCAGTTGCTAATATACCTTTTAATTGGTAAAGATTGAATTTTAGTGGTAAATCTTTTGTTGGGTGTTATAAAAATCTGTTCAGAAGATACATATTTGAGGGAAATGACCATCTGATCCTAAGATGGAACAATTAGGGGGCTGGGGGTTTAGCTCAGCGGCATAAGCACCTGCCTTGCAAGCAGGCGGTCGTGAGTTCGATCCCCGGTACCAATAAAAATGAAAAAGACAAAAAAAAAAAAAAAAGATGGAACAATTAGTAGCACTAGATAAGCTGAAGTTTTAATTTTTCTTCTATTGCTACCCTGTGGTTTTTTTTGTTATTATTGTTGTTTATATATTTTTGTTTGTTTGTTTTGGTTTATTGAGACAGGGTTTCATTATGCATTTCAGGCTGGCCTCAGACTCATAGCAATCCTGCTTTCAGCCTCCTGAATACGGGGATTACAGGTGTGCACTACCACACCTGGCTCTTTGTGATTTTTTTTGTTCTCTGTGTGATTTTTGAGCAAGCTATTTAATCATCTGTTAGTGCTTGTTCTATTGATCTTTTGCCCTCTTTTGATACTGAGTATGTTCATTGGCTTTGAAATTACATAGGGAGTTTGAGCCACAATTCTGCTTTATTGGTGTAACTTTGAAAAGTCCCTTAAACTTTCCGAACATCACTTTCCTCTTGTGTGAAATCACAAATAACATTTCTCATCAGGAAATCAGGACGATGAAATGAGCTGATATACACGAAACCATACTATGTCAAGCATATAATAGATGTTTAATAAATGACAACTTTTATGTATCTTAATTTTGTTTACAAGAAGATTCTTGGTCTTGCCAGAGAAATTTTTTATTTAGATGTAATGACAGAGGTGCTGTTCTAAGATCTTTTCGTATTTTCTTTTACTCCTCTAAATACCTCAATATGGTAGATTATTCATTCTCTTTTTATACATGAGGACACTGATAATACAGATTTCAAGGCCAGGAGTGGTGGCACATGCCTGTAATCCCAGGACTTGGGAGGCTGAGGTAGGAGCATCACTGTGAGTTTGAGGCCAATCTGGACTACATAGTGAGTTCAAGGTCAGCCTGGATTACATAGTGAGACCCTATCTCTAAACAAACAAATGCAATAAAACCCCACAAATTTTTAGTTGTTATGTTCTTTAGGACTAATGACTAACTTGCAATCAGAACCCAGTGTTTTTTAGAAGTTAAATACATGTTAGGCAAAAATAACAAATCTTTCAAATTCTGTTCAAGAATTACTTGTCTTTGCTTTTACTCTAGGTGGGATGGCAGGACTTCAGTCAATGATGAGGCAGTTTCAACAGGGTGCTGCTGGCAACATGAAAGGGATGATGGGATTCAACAACATGTAAAGACGATGCCTTAATATAAACTGACTTGGTTGACTACATTATTTGCTGAGACCTCAGAGTTTTCTTTCTTTTTGAAAATGAGGGAGGAAAAAGATTATTTTTCTTGCCTCTTGCCCTGTTTTTTCCCTTTTCCTTTTCGTTCTTTTGATAAAAGGAAGGGAAATACCGTTTTTGTGTAAATCATTCTACTTTTGGTTTAAATTTTCTTCTGTTAGTTTTCATCATTGAAACATTTCTTGAGTTAAACAATTCATGATGTAAAATTTTAGTACTTAAAAGTATTTTTAATTGTCTGAAAGGCCAAGCATTATATTTGTAAACAGTTCTGATCAGTAAGTTACATAATGTCTCAATAAAAGTGCTATAAAATAAATTCAGAGTGGTTACAAGTTGAGGGATTAACTTTCTTTATATTTTAAAATGATCTGTGTATCACACAAAGAAAAGGTAGGTAGAGGAACCAGCAGGTATGTGTCATGTAATGATGCCTGGAAGCTGGAAGTGGTGGTTCTAGCACTGTGGGATGCTGAGGCAGGAAGATCACAAATTCAAGCCCAGCGAAGGCAGTTGTGACTTAGGAAGACCTGGTCTCCAAAATAAATAAATAAGTAAATAAATTAAAATAAATAAAAGAACCAAAGATATAGTTTAGTCCAAAGGCCTTGGGTTCAGTCCCCAGCCCTGCAAAGACAAAAACTATACCTGGAAATACATCTTTAATAGACAATATGGTAGAAGAATTAGATCAAGAGTATTACGAATTTTTATTTATCTTAGAATACGTAAGGTAATTTTCCTATAGAAAATCTTAGCTCCATTATTTAAATTGAAGTCAAGAATTTGTTTATAGTTTACAGTGTGTGATGATTCTATATACAGCCTGGACTTTTAACCTATTTTGAAACCTTAATAACTATTTTTTAAAGTTATATTTATATATTAAAAACCTACTTGAAAAAATTGACATACTTTGATAATAGCTAATGAATGGACTTATTAATGTGAAAATAACAGGAAATTATGAGGCTGTTACTATTAAATATTATCAGTAAGCTGGATGTGGTGATGCATTCCTGCACTGTGGGAACTGAGACCTGAGGTTCACAAGCTGGAAGCCAGCCTGGGCAACAGTGACTAAGCAAGACCCTGATTTATAATAAAATAAAAATAAAGTAGAATAGACTTCCGGGAGAACATGGCGGACAGATAACAGCAACTACCGGAGGCTCTCTGAAAAACTAGGCTCAGAAGCCAGATATGGTGCAGACTAAAGAGACATAAGCAGGTGGAGTTATGCTCTGCTGACTCAGGAACGAATTGGGCTGAGAGAAACCAACTTGGAATGCAGTCCTGGTGCTAAAACAGGAACAGAAAAGTCTCGCTGCTGAGGCTGGACCCTGCGCCATTGGAAGCCGCGATTTGGGTTTCCCGCCGCGCAGTGGCTGGCTGCCTCTACATCGGCTCGGCAAGGAGAGAGACGCGCGGAAACTCTGAGAACGGGAGTCTGTGAACGGAGTCGAAAACAGGACGGGCAGGGAGGCATGTTCTGACTTGTGGCGAGGTGAGTGAGAGAAACTGACACTCCACCACAGTTTGACTCCAGCGGACTTTCTGGGCCCGAGCAGTCCTGCGGGAGCAGGGCGCAGTGGAGACTCCAGCCACACATTCCCCCCTCGGGCGGGATTGGTGAAAAGTGCCTGGCCTGCGTGACGCTGCCGGCAGACCCAGTAGGCTGGCCCAAACCAGATCCCAGAGCCTGACGGAGGCCGGGAGGGGCAGGCCCCCGCGTAGGCTGCCTGGTGCACAGCGGTGAGTGGGAACACCTAACCGGGGCAATTCAATCAGGCTGTGGCTGACAGGGAGAGAAGCTGGGCCTCTCATATAAGCTTGCATATATAAGGAACAGAGAATATGGGAAGAGGCAGCAACAAGAAAGGCTCCTCGGCCCCCAATTCTGAGAAACAGGCAATAGCAGACACCGCACCATTACACATAAGGCACCATATAGAGAGCCTCATAGACCAATTCAGGAATGAAGTTATCAACGACCTGAAGCTAGAAGTATGCAAAATAGTTAGAGAAATGCTAAGCCCCACCCAAGAAAAAACAGATGGTGGAATGGAAGAACAGAAAAAGAGGGGAGAATTGTTTGATGGAGAAAACAGGGAAAGCATAGAATACGTGAAGCAGGTTCAAAGGGACTACCAAGAAACTAAGAAGTCTATCGAAGACTGGCATAACAGCTTGAAAGAAACTAATGACAGACTATCTGAACTGGAGGGCAGAATTGTAATATGGGAGAATGAAATGAAAAACTTCTTAAAAATAACAAAGAAACAAACAGCAATAATACAAAGACAAGAAGATGATAAGAGGATCCATAACTTAAGGATTAAGAACATAAAAGAAGAAGTAGGGACACAAACAAATGAACTACAAAAGCTACTCACAGAAATAATCCAGGAGAATTTTCCTAATTTAGCAAAAGGTAAAGATACTCAGATGTATGAGGCATACAGGACCCCAGCTACCTACAACCCTAACAGAGCAACACCCAGGCATATCATAATAAAAATTCCAGAAATTCAATACAAGAACAGAATATTAAAAGCTGTCAGAGACAAGAAACAGATCACTTACAAGGGAACACCCATCAGAATTACAGCAGATTTCTCTGCACAAACCATCAAATCACGAAGAGCGTGGGGGGAAATAATTCAAGCTTTGAAAGATAATAATCTCCAGCCAAGATTGAGATATCCTGCACAACTGTCCCTGGAAATTGATGGAAAAACAAGGTGCTTCCAGGATAAAGAGGAACTGGGGGAATTTGCAACCACCAGTTCAACTCTACAGAGAGTATTGCAGGATATTTTAAAAAAAGAAAAATACAAAGAATCCAGAAATAGTGGAGGCCACAACTAATGGAGCAGAGAACAAAGTGAAGACAAACTGACAGCTACTGACAGAATAAGAGCTCAACAGAAATGAGGCAGAGAAGATTGGATGATAGGAACAGCTATTTTGGAGAAAATGACATCTTAATAGGTAATACTGATTTAGATCATCTAGTTTTGAAGTCTCATCTAGCTTTTGTCCTTCTGTCTCCAATGGTCTAAATAGGTTGTATCTTACTGGATTTTATTATGTACGATAGTATAAGCAAAAACCTTTTAAAGACAAGGAGATTATACAGAAACCATTATTCATTTTCTGTTAGTCGATTCTAAATACTCTGTAATGCTGTCATTCTCTTAAATGGTTTTACATTGTTTTGATATACTTAATGCTACAGTATACGAAGTTGTACTCAAGGATTTCAAGGAAAGAGACAATATGGTAACTACTTTTAGGTCAGGATTATCTGGTGGTGAAACACTATTCTGCTTAAATGGTTATGTTTTGATCTGTGCTGTTTCGTTGTTATGCCCTCTTTTATCTCAATCTCCACTCCATTATTTACTTTTTTAATACTTTTTAAATTTTTATCCTTTTAATTAAAGAAAAAAAAATAACAGGATATATTATAGTAACCCACTTTGACTTTCCATTACCTCGATTTAAAGCCCTGTATTACTCTCACCATCTGGTTTTTAACTGAT